GTAAGAAAATTTTTATTAATTTTTTTTTTAAAATAATATAAATTATATATTAAAATTTAAGTTAAAAAATTTATTTGAGAAACCATCCCATAATCTTTTTACTTTTCCAACCTTCTCTAAAGGGTTGATTTTTCATGCTATCTTAGGTGGTTTAGCAAAAGACTTAGCATTGACAAGTAAAATTACATTAAAGATTTTGAAATGGAGTAAAGAATTCAAAATACCATCACGATAGTAAAACTTCTCAATGGCTATAAATAAATAAGCTCATTCTTTCGTTAATTAGGACAGGAGATGGTTGCTAGGGCTAATAAATCTTTCACTTTTCTCCTCTCTTCTGCCTTTGAGCAATCAGGCCAGGAAGGGTCTAAGCTTATGGATACAAAAACCTTGCCCAAGCCTGCCTAATATAGATCCCTTTATTTACTTTGTTCAAGTCAAAAAAAAAAAAAAAGTACTAAAATATATGGGGTTTCTCATATGAAAAAAAAAAAGAGTACTAAAATATATGGGGTTTCTCATATGTGCTTCACTATTCATGTATAAATAAGGATGAACCGTAACGTTTTCTTTTTTCTTTTTTAATTTTGGCCCCTTTTCATTTAATTCTGTCCTTCTAGTTTTGATTGTTTTTTATTTTAGTCCTTTTGGACTTCATTCCAATAGATAAAGTACAAAAGGTGTAATTGAAAGACAAAAACAACAAAGAGAGGACCACAATGTTAAGCGTGAAGAGAATTCATGATCATTCCCCAGTTATTGATTTTTTTTGTCCGAATATTTATTTTGTTTATTTTTCTATCTCCTATTAAAAGAAAAGAGAAAAAATCGTTCGGAAATAAAAGAAAATTTCAAGATTCCAATGGTAAAAAAAACAACAATCTTAATGTCAATAAGATTTGTTTAACGAGAGATTAAGTTTGATGGTAATATTTTAAAAATTTATCTTATAAAAAAAAGTAGATTGAGGTTTGAGAAGTTTTAAGATTTTGATTTGTTTTTTTTTTTTTTTTTTTTTTTTTTTTTTTTTTTTTTTTTTTTTAATTTTTAAATGATTTTTTTCTATTTTAAAGCCACAAATTAGCTTTTTGATGTTTATAGAATATTTATATGTATTTTTAGATAAAAATAGTTTAATAAAACGACACGTTGTTTATTTTGTTTTTTATTACCGGGGGGCGGGCGGGGGGGTTGGGGGGTGACCCTTAGCAAAGAAAATATAGATATCGGCCTTCTTTTGTTTAAAGGAAGAGCTGGGTCTAACCCTTTTATTTATTTATTTTTCTTATTTTATTTTTTATTTTTTACAATCTAAAAAAAATTATTTAAAATGATAATTCTCTTATATGTCTTCAATTTTCATATGATTCTTAAATAATAATACAGGTTTTCATTAGAATGTTATTTTACAATTATTGTATACCTAATATCACTTAAACTCAATATAATATTTTTAAATATATTTTTAGCATGATTCTATTATATTTATTAATTTTTTAGCCTTCAATCACATATGAAATATGGACACATTGTTTCGATAAATATTTTTAAACTTATTTTGACAATCATTAAATATTTTTTGTTTAATGGTGACTCAAGTTAAAAAATGCTCTTACTAAAATAATCAAGAAATATATGTTTCTACTTATATCAAATAGCTTATATTTTTAACAAGCCTTTATTTTAAATATTGCTCTCTTTTATGAGAAAAGTGTGCTCCTAATAAAAAAACAATGTTGTTGCTTTTAAGAATATTAAATATTTTTCAGGTCTTGATAATAATTTTATTTATTAAAATTAAATGAGAATAAAAATATTTATATTTATTCTAATTCTTTTTATTTTTTATCAAATGAAACAAAATATTCTAATTATTTTTATTTTTTATCAAATGAAACAAAATATTAAAGAAAATATATTTATAAGAAAAGGAGGAATTATAGTAGGATTTTCTTTTCAATAGATATTAAATTATTTATTTTCTAACAATAATTAATTTTAAAATTATATAATTAAATTAAAAAAAATTAAAAAGTTACCCATAATATGAAATAGATATCTTAACATCCATCATCATCATCATCATCATCATCATCATCTCAACTTTCCTACTCAATTATTAGTTAAAATAAAAAAATTTCTTATCAGCACATATAATTTTTGCTTTATTTTATTAAACATACTTGTAAATTTTTTAATTTGAAGCTAAAAGTTTTTTTTTGGTAAAACATAACATTAGTACTGTCTACTCCTTTTTGTAATGGAAAAAAAATAATATAGCGTGGAAAATCAAGCTAGTATAGTCTAAACATATCAATTTATAACAATTATCTCACCAAAATAAAATTAAAAAAAAACTCAATCAAACACTTATTCTAAATTAGTTCTTGTGCTTCGTGTTGTGGGTGAGTGTTGGCATTATCAATAGTTCAATAATCCTTTCCTCTGGTTAAATTTATCTTCTGCATGTTTTACTTTTAATTTGCGCTCACTATATAACAAGTATTGTGCTTTACTAATACTTTTTAAAAAAAAAATTATTATTATTAAATAAATACTTTAAGTTCATGAACATTTAATGGTGAATTGTTCAAGCCTTAGAAACTACATTAATTGGTCGAGGCCATTGTAGCCACAAAATTTGAAAAAATTTTCATTTTAGTTTTTAATGCTTGTAAATCTTTTAATTGTACCTTTTAATTTTGTGTGTGTATATATTATGCTCTATAAGAAAATAAATTATTTTCTTATTTATCTTTCAAATCCAAAATTTTATTTCAGCTCATGTTTTTTATAATACAATCGGGTCATCTTTTTCAACTTCAAAATTAATGGCTTCATATTAAAAAAATATTTTAACTCGATGTTATCTTAATGTTCTTTTTTTATTATATTGATTTTATTTTATCAATTCAAACTAATCCATTAAATCCATCACACAAGTGTGAATAAAATTTATGAAATGAATATACCATGTAGGGTTGCACAAAAAGAGAGTTTATTAATATTAGGAAAATTTGTTATAATCTAAATCCAAAGTAAAAATTGAATTTTGCTTCTTTAAATAATATCAATTTTAATGAATTTATTTACATGGATTTCAATTAACATTTCCAAGACCCAGCTTGAACAAAAACAAAATCCAATATTTCATGATTATGTAGTCTCGCCTTAATTTTTTTAAAATATTAAAATAATAATAAAAATCCAATATTTCACGATTATGTAGTCTCGTCTTAATTTTTAAAAAATATTAAAATAATAATATTTTAAATCAAAATGAGTGAACTAGTTAGCCACTGTAAAATTCGTGATAAGAGTTATTGACTTGCACTTAATAAATATTTTTAGAATCCATCTTTCGTTTATTTATATGATGCTAAACGTAGATATTTACAAAAAAAAATAAAATAAAAGATAAAAAATAGTTTTATTGAACTTAAATTTAAATCTATGTAAGAAAATATAAATGTTAAAAAGTAACCAGACACTTCAACTTGGATAGGCCATCATGCATTGTTTATGTAATGAATAGGCAACATGTATAGGCTTGTCTAGCCTTTTTCTTCTTCTTTTTTTCTCCTAGCTAAAGGGGTGAATCATACGTCGTCCTTCTTTCAAGAAAAAAAAAAAAGAATAATCAAACAATATATCATCTTGAAGAGAATGGTGAAAAATCAAGGCTGATTATTTTTGGAAATAAAAAATAAATTTTCAATTTATTTTCATATAAAAAATTCAATAAACACCTTTATAAGGTATAAAAATTAATTTCTAAATATAAAACATCTTAAAAAATAGTTCATAAATACAGGTTGGGAAATGTTTTTTGTCAACCTCAATTTATGTTTTCTTATAAAATAAAAGGTGAAGAAGTAACAAAATAAAAATCTTCTCATCAAATAAAACTTGTTGATACTAAAAACAACTTGTTTCATGATTGAAAATTAGTGATTCATCAACTTTCTCTCTACCTCATCCATTTTCAATAACTTTCTTTAACATTTCTCAAACTCAGAGACTTAAAAATAAATAAAATGAGATTTTATATAAAAATAAAAATTGCAAAAATTGAAGGATAAAGATGAAAAATATAATTGAGCATAAAAAAATCAAGACTTTTTTTTGTAATATCTTGGTAATTTCATATAAAACTATCATAAACCATTTTTAAGGTCCAAATTCTAAATAACTTAGCATAAAAGGATTAAAAAAAAATAGTTACCCATATAGAAAGGGCATAAAAAAAAGGAGGCATTATTTTGGTGAACAATGCACTGCTAAGAAAAATTCAAAGAGTAATTATTTTTATTTTTACAAGTGTAATGTTCTCAAGCTCGAGAGCAATTGCTAAGCAAAGCAAAGCAACCCAAGGGAGATTGATTCAGTCGCTCCACTTATATTGGGCAAGAAGGACGTCGGTTCCCCAGAAAATCTTCTTTGTCGAAATTTGTATGGAAATGGTTAAGATTTCTGTGGCTCTCAATTACACACAACTCAGAAATCTTTTTTTTTGCAATTTTTTTTTAAGATAAAGATATACTATAATCTTTCTTTTTTTTTAGTATATTAAACTTAGGTTCTTCCCTTCATGACTTTAAAATCATTTAATTTAGGATGCATCCATCATTTTATTAATTTTTTAATTTAAGATAAGGTTTTAAACATCCATTTTACTTAATTGTTAAATAAATTCTCAAGATATAATATATATAATTTTTTAATATATTCTTTAAATGAAAGCTTTTTAAATTTGAGACTTGCAAAGATTTATATTACCTTATATTTAATTTTTATCAAATGAAATAAGAGTGTTAAGATTTAAACTCATAATTGTTTGGTTAAAATATAAAGCTTTTATATTATACTAAATAAAATTCTATTTAAAAACTTAAGTTATTAAATAAAATTATAAAATATAATTTATATAAAACCAAATGTGTTGCTATCATTCATGAGACCAGAAATTAAGCTTTAAATTGATAATTAAGGCATAAAAAATGTACGAGTTCTTGTTGGTAATTCAGTTACACCATTATAGCCTTCATCTTCACGTCCTAACAAGTGCACATAATACGTGGAAAAGCAGCACCAAACCCTAATCTGCCAAAGGCATTTTCCTCTTCACATAAAGTGTCGGATCAATCTCTCAATCAGCACATCAACCATTATTTCAGCTAGAACAACCTCATTTCAATTCATCTAGGTTTTTGAAAGAACAACAAATCCCCATATCCCTTGTGAGAAATCCAATTTTTCACTCTTTCACTGCCCTCTTTTTCAAAAAGTTAAGAGATGAAAACAAAATATACACACAGGAACATATAATTATAATAATAATAATTTCTCTTGTCTCTTCTTGTTTCTATGTCTAGATAGACGAAGAAAGTAGAGGCTATAAATATGGCAGAAGAGTCTTGGAGTCATTATAAGCACTCCCACTTTTTTCAGAAAACTAAACATTTTTCCGAAAGCTGAAGTGGCCGGAGATTAAGCCTGCAGGTCTGTGCTCCTTTCTTCTAAAAACATGCAAATGTTCTTATAAATGCATGGTTTCGTGCATAAACAAGCAAAGATTTTATCACAGATTTTTCTGCCAGTGAAAAAACTCAAAACAGAATCTTCTTCTTTACCTTACATATGAACATCTCTCTCTCTCTCGCCCCTTTCAGTTTTTTCTCTTCTTCTCTTTGCTTCATTACCCATTCCCTAGATTTGCTTCATTTAACGTTATTCCCTTTTTTTTTCTTTCCCTTTTCTTCTGTACAAAATCCATGTGTTGTTTTGACCTGGTTTCTTGATCAGCTGACCTTTTTCCCCTTCTGTGTTTCTCTTCTGTATAAAAAAAAAAAACATTAAGAAGCATACAGTTAAGAATGAGAGGGAAGATTCAAGAGAAGGGTTTCTTTCTTTGTTTTTTCCATGTGTTTTTGAAGCTCTCTATCTTCAGTTCAACTTCTAGATCAGCCGGTCTTAGGTGATGCGCTTGAGGTTTTGTTTTTTGGGGCAATTAATTCATGTCATTTTCACTCCAGCCACATATACAGTCATCATCAACATGGCTGGATAAATACTTGAGAGGAGAAACAGAAGTGACAAGAAATGGGATAGGAAAATAATTAGTAACTAAATCTTGTTTAACTCATGCAAGATTCTGCTCTGATTTTCATCAGATGATAGGGTGTGCATCCACTTTTCTTGTTACCCTTCTTAATATTTCTTATCGTGGTTTAAGTCTCCCTGAACCTAGATCTTTTAAGCTAAACCTCTTGCTCGAGATCTCTCGGCCCCGCCTCTATTTCCTCCCCTTTCTTAGTCATTCTTCACAGATCTTCATTAAACATCTTATGCTTCTAATGTATAAATATATATATTTTCTTTGTAGTTCTTTTCGACAATTTTCTTAAACATTTTCTCTCACCTCATAGCTTCTTCTTGAAATCAAGTTTCGTTCTTCGTTTTTTGGGAGATTCTTGTTAGCCTAGCTAACTACTTCATATTTCTTAGTGGTTTACATCTTTCTGCACCTAGATCTTTTTAGCTAAAACGCATTGCTCAAACTCTCCCCCCGTTCCCTTTTCTTAATCATTTTTC